CTGGTATTATGACTAATAGAGTTGCTACATTTTGTTGTTCTGTACATGCAATTTCTCACTCACTAGGTTGATATATATGACATAGATTTGTTATAAATTTGGAGTCCTATGGCACATTTTTCACATTAACAGATTGTATTAAAAGGCGCATGCTTTTGTGAATATGAAAGGCTACCCTGTACAGGTGAACCCATGTTTGCAAGCTGTGCAATTCTTAAGGCTTCATGATTGCTACTGAACCTGGCCCACAAATTTGACTACCATAATAAACCTGGGATCAATCTTTCCTTAGCTGGATTTACCAAGCGTTAGAGCATGACTCCAAAAAGTCTCATCCGGTGAGGCCAGTAGGAATTATAATCCTAATTAAACCTGATCATTGAAATCCTTTTTTTTTCCTAATCAGGTTTCATTCATTTTAATGAAATACTTTGCATTAGAAAATATACTTCACAATCTTCCACAGGACATATGGCAAACTGGAAATGGTTCTACAAAAGTAGAAGCAAATTTGAATTAAAGAGCAGAAAGCTGAACAAGATTTTGATCTAAGAAAGTTTTAAATGGGTTAAGGGACTTGGAAAACGTTCTGCTTATAAGTTATTGATTTATTTTATTTATAACATTTATTGGCTGTCCATCTTATCGAAGGGTAACTCTGGGCATTTTCATTTTTTCATATTGGACTTTCAAAAGAGGCTTGTTAAAGCCTTGAAGAAATCTTTGTGATGGGATCAAAGAAGAATTGAAGAGAAATCAAATCCTAAAACAATATTTTATTGAAATTATTAAGACTATTAGAAGTTAAATAAAAGTAAGAAATATAAAGTTGGTTTATTTGATCAAGGTGAAAATAAGACTTTTTTTTTAATGTTCTGGCAACTTTTGTGGACTTTTTGCTGACACCAGGACTGAAAAGTTTTATGGATTTACTTATAGGTAAGAGATGGGATATGGGATAGCCATTTAACCGTATGGGGCAGTGATGGCGAACCTTTTAGAGACCGAGTGCCCAAATTGCAACGCAAAATTCACTTATGCATCGTCGGGTGCCGGGTGGGTGTGGCCCATTGGCTGGGTGTGGCCAATTGGATGGGCGTGGCTGCAGTAGTAACAGCAGACTAGGTGGGACTAAAAAGTTCAATCAATCAATTCCAACTTTGCAAGATCTTTTTTTTCCCGCGAGAAATTGAAATTGACTGATTGATTGAACCTTTTTTTTTTTTTTGCACACGAGGCCTAAAACGAAAAGTTTTTATAAAACCCAGCTGAAGGCCTAGGACTGGGGCGACGGCGCGCGTGCCCATAGAGAGGGCTCTGAGTGCCGCCTTTGGCACGCGTGCCATAGGTTCGCCACCACTGGTATGGGGTTTACAGCAATATAAATGTGTTTATATTTATTGTAAAATGAAGGTCAGAAATCTTGCCTTTTTCTTTATTGTGTTCTTCCTCTTTTTTTCTTTCTTTCTCTTTCTTTCTATACTTTTTAGGCTTTCCTTCCATTCTCTTCTCTTTTTTCAGTTTGTATTAGCATCTACCATTTTAATTAAAATTCTTAACAAAAATATGTTAATATAGTTAATAGGCGGCATGCGATGTCTTGCACTTAACTGCACAAAGGGAGGGATTGATCAAGGGATGTGTGTAGCTGTTTTGCCTTCACTTGCTCAGTCTGTGGGTCTGCAGTCTGTTTCCATTCCGTCCCAGGAGAAGGACGTTTCTGAGGCTCCAACAGCAGCAAAATTACTACTGTTGTTCCGATAAACTCCCAGCCTTGAGAAATCACAGGAAGATTTTCCTCTCTCTGCTCACAAACATGCAGAGAATCGAGGGCTCCCAAATTGCCCTAGAGTGAGAGGATTTCCCCTGTTTTCTGATGGCAAATCACTTGACGGTGGTTCTGTTTTCTTTTAATCTTAGCATCCATTAGAGAGCAAAAACATAAATGATATGGGAAGAAAAGGAAGCGCATTAGCTCAGCTCTGGGCAGTTTGGTGTGCATTTTCTTCCTTACTGGTTGGATGCACATTCTGTGTATCCATCCTGGGCTTTGAGTAAATCAGCACCCAGCCCACATATATTCTCTCTCTCTCTCTCTCTCTCTCTCTCTCTCTCTCTCTCTCTCTCTCTCTCTCTCTCTCTCTCTCTCTCTTTCAATTTCTCTCTTTCTCTTTCAATTTCTCTCTTTTTCCTTCTCTCTTTCTCTTTCTTTCTCTCTTTCTATCTCTCTTTTTTCTCTTTCTCTCTCTTTCAATTTCTCTCTCTCCCCGTCTCTCTCTCTTTCTCTCTCTCTCTTTCAATTTCTCTCTCTTTCAATTTCTCTCTTTTTTTCCTTCTCTCTTTCTCTTTCTCTCTCCCTTTTTCTCTCCCTCCCTCTTTCTCTCTTTCTATCTCTTTTTTCTCTCTCTCTCTCTTCCTCTTTCCCTTTGTCTCTTCCTCTTTCTCTCTTTCAATTTCTCTCTTTCTCTTTCTCTTTCTCTCTTTTTTCTCTTTCTCTCTCTCTTTCAATTTCTCTCTCTCTCCCCGTCTCTCGCTCTCTTTCTCTCTTTCTCTTTCAATTTCTCTCTCTTTTTCCTTCTCTCTCTCTCTTTCTCTCCCTCTTTCTCTCTCTCTCTTTTTTCTCTTTCTCTCTCTTTCAATTTCTCTCTCTCTTTCTCTCTCTCTCTCTCTCAATTTCTCTCTCTTTTAATTTCTCTCTTTTTTCCTTCTCTCTTTCTTTCTCTCTCCCTCTTCTTCTCTCTCTCCCTCTTTCTCTCTTTCTATCTCTCTTTTTTCTCTTTCTCTCTTCCTCTTTCTCTTTGTCTCTCTCTTTCTTTCAATTTCTCTCTCTCTTTCAATTTCTCTTTTCCTTCTCTCTCTTTCTCTCCTTTTTCTCTCTCTCCCTCTTTCTCTCTTTCTGTCCCTTTTTTTTCTCTTTCTCTCTCTCTCTTTCAATTTCTCTCTCTCTCTCTTTCACACACACACACACTTGGGCCCAGCTGCCCTGAGAGGCTAACTCAAACCAGCCCCCGCCGGGCTGGGATTGGGGGCTGGCAGCCCCTGTCCTGACCCCAAGTGCAGGGGCTGGGCAGTGCTCCATGACCCTTCAGCTTGTTCCGTCCTGCCCCTTTTGTCAGCGGAAGGAAGGGGGCGGTCTTTTGTCCCGAGGGAAAGCCATCCAGCCCAAAACCAATAGAAAGCAACAAGATGATTAATTCCAGCTATGCTAATAAAGGCGCTGCATTAGTTCCAGTGTTTGGCAGAGGGAGGAGAAGCTGTTCTCCTGGGCCCGGCGTCATCGCCTTCCCTCTCGTTGCTTCTGCTTTGGATTCCTTTTTTCCCCCCTTTCAGCTGCAAACAGTTTAAAGATGGGTTGCGTCTCTTTTAATTATCATTGGTCTTTTCAACCTACTTTGCTGTCAAAACATTGGAAAAACCTTCAGAAATGTAATTTGTGTTCAGCGCGCTAAAATGCCCGTACGCTCAACCTTTCTTATTTGGCTTCTGGTTTCTCTGCTTTTTGTCTGTCTTCCTTCCTCTTTCGTTTGCTTTCCAAGATGAAACATCTTAGGGACAATCCTGCCTTCAGCAAAGCAGGTGTGTAGCAATGGGCAGGCATTCAGACCAACTGTGACAGGTATAGCGCGTGTACCCATACAAGATTAGGAAAAATACACACCTGTACACAGGTAGTCCTCAACGTACAACCATAATTGAGTCCAGAATTTCTGTTGCAAAGCAAAGCAGCGGTTAAGTGACTTTTACGACCTTTTACAATCATTCTTCCCACAATTGTTAAGTGAATCACTGCAGTTGTTAATAATCATAATAATAATAATCATAATAATAATAATAAGGTTGAAAGGGACCTTAGAGGTCATCTAGTCCAACCCCCTGCTCAGGCAGGAAACCCTATACCATTTCGGACAAATGGCTGTCCAGTGTCTTCTTAAAAACTTCCAGTGTTGGAGCATTTACCGCTTCTGGAGGCAGGTTGTTCCACTGATTAATTGTTCTCACTGTCAGGAAGTTTCTCCTTAGTTCCAGGTTGCTTCTCTCCTTGATTAGTTTCCATCCCTTGCTTCTTGTCCTGCCTTCAGGCGCCTTGGAAAATAGCTTGACTCCCTCTTCTTTGAGGCAGCCCCTGAGATACTGGAACGCTGCTATCCTGTCACCTCTTGTCCTTCTCTTCCTTAAACTAGACATCCCCAATTCCAGCAACCGTTCCTTGTATGTTTTAGCCTCCAGTCCCCTGATCTTTGTTGCTCTTCTCTGTACTCTTTCGAGTCTCAGCATCTTTTTAAGTTAGTAACACGGTTGTTATGGCTTCCCCATTGACTTGGCTTGTCAAAAGGTCGCAAAAGAGGACCATCACAACTATGTGTCAATTGCTAATTGTTTGAATTTTGATCACGTGACCATGGGGATGCTGCAACGGTTGTGTGAAAAATTGTCATAAATCACCTTTTTCAGTGCTGTTGTAACTTTGAATGGTCACTAAATGAGCTGTGGAAAGTCGAGGACTCCCTGTAGTTCATCTAGGTCATGTGTCAAGGATGAAACTTTGGCAGCTATGTGCTTCTGCATTTCAACTTGCCTTTAGATTAACGGGGGGAGGTGTTACTTTCAAGTGGGTTAGATGGAGAAATGAAACTTGTACGATTCAGCTGAAGACCGTGAGAGCCTGAAGCCTTTTCAAGGATACCCGAACAGGTGTGGATTTGAAACAGACGGTTCCCATAACAAAGTGAACTTGTTTATATGGACTACATAAGACTTTGGGGGTTTGACTGGGAAACGTATTGTTTAAGTCTATGAATTGGCATGGGAACCTCAGAATTAGTTTTGCTTCAACATAACCATGCTGTGTATTCAATAAACAGTAAGATTTTCGGAGACGGGATTAACCTGGAGTTTTAGTTGGATTCTCAAGCTGGATGTTGACATTATGTTTCTTGTCTGGTATACCTGGTATACATCCTGGTCCTGCCCTTTTCATCTTCTTGTTTTCTCTCTTACAGACCCAGCCGGTTCCCAACCCCGTGGCCTATTTCATGCACTGGTCGCCTTGGTGGTTCCATGCCTTTGAGACCCTCTTCAACCATTTCATAGAACTGGTCGTGCCTTTCTTTGTCTTCTTGGGGCGGCGCATGTGTATAGTCCATGGCGTTCTTCAGATCCTCTTCCAGGTGAGAGCTCTTCAGCCAAAGGGGCTTTCATCCCAGGTTTGGATTGAATCTTTTTCTGGATTCTCACAGCACGCCAAACTAAAAAGAAGGCTTGGTATCTACCTGCTAGATACAGGTAGTCCTTGACTTATGATCACAGTTGAGCCCTGAATTTATGTTGCTGTGTGAGAAATTTGTTAAGTGAGCGTTGCCCCATTTTATGACTTTTCTTGTCACAGGTGTTACGTGAATCACCGAAGTTGTAAAGTTAGTAACACGGTTGTTATTGGCTTCCATCATTGACTTTGCTTGCCAGAAAGTTGCAAAAGGGGATTGCGTGACTCTGGGACGTGGCGACCGTCATAAATATGACTCAGTTGCCAAGTGACGGAATTTTGGTGATTTTTTTTATGGGGATGCTGCAGTGGTCATCAGTATGAAAAATGGTCATAAGTGACTTTATTCAGTGTCTTTGTAACTTGGAACTGTCACTAAACAAATTGTTGTAAGTCAAGGACCACCTGTACACCAAAAACCTAAAGTAATGTTAAAAAATCTTACTACACTCTGAAATTTATTCAGTGCCATTGTAACTTTGAATGGTCACTAAATGAACTGTTGTAAGTCAAGGACCACCTGTACACCAAAAACCTAAAGTAATGTTAAAAAAATCTTACTACACTCTGAAACTTACCTCCTGGCTTTTCCCTGATAAGTCTGACTTAACATGTGTGAACACAAGCAAAAAGTAACAAATATTGGGTTGCAGATCCCCTTGTTAAGCATCAGGTCCATAAATGATAGCTCGTTGATTGACAGGATATTCAAATGATGAATTGTACAGTCGCAGCACCCAGCTTTCATTTGATCCATCCACGGAGGCCCCTGGCAAGGACACCTTCTCCCCAGAAGGAATAGGAGGGGGGGGGCTTTGATCTACCTTACATTGCTAATTCATAAAAAGCTTACTGGGGCAATCTGATTTGGCCGAGTTATGCAGATCCACGGGCTGTGCCTGTAATTTGGTTTGTCCCATGCGCAGACCGAAACCTCTGGCTATCTCTCCAAAAGAGCCAGACTCTTTTAATCAAAAACCAGACACCGATGTTAACTAGTTGATGCTATCCAGTTGGATAATGAAACATCTGTCAACAACCAAGCTCAGATAACACCAACAACCTGGTTCAACCCGGAGCTATGTGCGGTATATTCTCTCCTATTGAAGCTCTCCTGTTGGCTTTTTTTCTGTGGAGTGAGAGGGAAAACCTGTGATAACCTAACCCAGTGGTTCTCAACCTTTTTAATGCCGCGACCCCCCAACCGGTTGTAAGTTGAGGACTATCCAACCGGTCGTAAGTTGAGGACTACCTAACCAGTCGTAAGTCGAGGACTTTCCCTGCCCGGGAGCCCCGTGCATGCGTGGTGCCGCCCCCTGCGCCGGCCGAGGCGTAGCTGGCAAGCAACAGAGGCGGAGCAGGCCGACCACCGGCTGGGCCACCAGCTGGCCCAGCCTAAGGGAGGTAAGGCACGCGCCGGGCCCCACGCACGCCAGCAACCCTCCCTGTGCCCGCCAGCCTCCCACCTCCCACCCCTGGCCCTCTTTTACTTACATTTTTAGTAGTTGCTCAGCAGGGAGGGGTGGAAACTTCCAGACAGCTCGCCTTCGCTGCAGACAACTTGCAGCACCGTTTGCAGAATGGGACTTTTGGCGGGCTCAGCAGGGCAGAGACAGCCTGGACAATTCCTATTGGCTTTTGAAAGCCAATAGAATTAAACTCTATTCAAGAGAGTCTATTCTATTGGCTTTCAAAAGCCAATAGAATAAAAGGGAGTAGCACAGCTAAGGAAAAGGGGGAAAAAATGGCGGATTGCATTGTTTGGCGACCCCCGTGAAATGGTCGTTCGACCCCAAATGGGGTCCCGACCCACAGGTTGAGAACTCCTGACCTAACCGAAGTCATGGGCGTAGAAACGCCACTACCGGTTCGTTCTTTCCTCTGATCCTTCTAACTCAGGGGTAGGCAACCTCGGCTCTTTTATGACTCATGGACGTCAACTCCATGAGTTGACGTCCATGAGTCATAAAAGAGCCGAGGTTGCCTACCCCTGTTCTAACTGAATTTTCACTGGCCGATGCTACTTTTCAGAATGTCTTTTGAATGGTTTTGTAAGGCATGCACGTCCTAAGTTACTGAGCTGTGGTTAGGTGGGGAGCCCATGTTAAAACCCTCTGAGGTATTCTCTGCGATAGTCGGTCAATAAACATTGAAAAACAAACCAACCCAAATTGCCAAGCGGGACTTCTATTTGCTGTAATGGATGTTTACAGATCTGCAAAGTTTCCTAAGTTACAATCAAGGATCTCCAGCTAGACTCTGAAAAGAGAAATTGTCTTCTGTAGCAGTTCGTAATGGTCTGCTGCTAAATACCTTCCTCTCACTGCTCTTTAATTCACACTTAATGGCTGGATGGCAATTAGTCACCGACTTTCTCTCCCAAAAGACTCTAATGAACGAGAAATTAGTCCCAGTTGTTGCTCTTTGGCAGTTGGAGGATAAACAACCTCAGTTTATTGATTATCTACCGTTCTTTTTCTTCATTCGAAATGACTTTTATTGGCAGACCCTCAGCTCCAAGGGGAAACAATAGAGTGTAATGCCAATACCCCACTTGATTTGTAAGGTATTATTAGGCAGTTCGTAAGAGTTAAAGTGAAGTCACACAGTTAGTTGCATGTTTCCAGGTCACTTAGCAGAACCAGACACAATTTGTTGAGCCAAATGCATTCTGTAGCTCACCTCCCTTGCATGCAGTTGTGGGGACACATACTGAACATACACGCTTTCACATAAAGGAGGATGTTTTTCTGCTTGTAACATTTGTTATGGGAAATGGGGTTTTGTGAGAGGCGTACATGTTTCCCGGTCTAAGCAACAAATCCTTCCCTTGTTTTATAAACTGTTTGTGTGTGTGCATGTGGGTCTGTGGATCTGTGATGTACATACACACACACGCACAAAAAAAAACCCCGCCTTGCAAGTATATATATATGCCATTGGATGCTGTAGTAGAAAAGTGGCCCCTTAAAAATACATGTTGGAAAGTTTGCCAAAATATTCAAAAAAAGTTACCCTTTCAAAACTAAAAAGCAAAACAATATGCTAAAGGTCGAACGGTAAGTAATTTAAGAGTCCAGGGTCATCACTAGGACTGGCGTCAAATGATCCCCTCAAACAAAGAAAAAAAAATCAAATTAAATAAACAGCCAGCTTGCTTCGTAAAAGGGATGAACAAAATGGGTTGTGTCTGAACTCTTTCAGGTATAGAACAGCTCTTTCCAAATGGTTTGAAATCTTGTGGAAAACGAAATTACTCTTACGAATTCCAGAGGGTTTAGCAGCGAGATTGATTGCGCAGGTTCAGAAGCAATAGCAACTAGCAATTCTGAACCCCGAGGGCGGGTTCAGACTTCAGTTTTATACTTTCCTTTTCTCAGGAACAAAGGAATACACATTGAAATACTCATTGTAATACATTAGGTTCGTTTCTCACAGGTATACAATGGAGAGTTTGCTACATACCGTATATGCCGGCGTACAAGGCGATCCGGCATATAAGACGACCCCCGTCTTTGTCGCCGAGTCTCCTTCCTTGAACGTCGTCTTATACGCCGGAAACTACCAGTATTTCCGGCGTATAAGACAACTCGGCGTATAAGACGACCCCCATCTTTGGCGCCGATTTTAGCGCTTCTGGAAGTCGCCTTTGTACGCCGGCATATACGGTACATTGTATCCAAGTGCAATGCGCATTAGGTTAGTCACATGCTACTAACACAGCACTATTCCAGTAATTATGCAGACACATCATTATTCTAGTGATAGCATCGGCCAGTGAAAATTCAGTTAGAACAGGGGTTAGAACAGGGGTAGGCAACCTCGGCTCTTTTATGACTCATGGACGTCAGCGTGGCTGACTCGGGAATTCTGGGAGTTGACGTCCATGAGTCAATCAATCAGTCATTTTCAACTTCTCACGGGAAAAAAAAAGATGTGCAAAGTTGGAATTGATTGATTGAACTTTTTAGTCCCACCCAGTCTGCTGTTACCACCGCAGCCATGCCCACCCAATGGGCCACGCCCAGCCAGTGGGCCACACCCACCCAGTGGGCCATGCCCACCCGGCACCTGATGATACATAAGTGGGTTTTGGGTTGCAGTTTGGGCACTTGGTCTCTAAAAGGTTCGCCATCACTGTGGCCTACACCGTTTCTGACAGATGGCAGTCCAGTCTCTTCTCAAAAGCTTCCAGGGATGAAGCTCCCACAACTTCTAAAGGCAACTTCTGTTCCATTGGCTGATTGTTCTCCCTGTCAGGAAATTCCTCCATATTTCCAAGTTGAATCTCCCCTTGGCCAGTTTCCACCTGTTATTCCTTTTCTGGCCTTCGGGAGCTTTGGAAAATAGGTTGATCCCCTCCTCTCTGTGACAGCCCATTTGTGGGACTTTTGTGAGCCTACCCTTTGAGTAAAAGGCGTCTCTACTTCCAGAGCTTTGCTCTAGGATTCCTCTCCTGCCCCAAGTCCCTTTGCCGTGGGCCAGAGTCCATTATGTCAATGCAGCCGCCTCCCCAGTTCACCAAGAAGGGTGGGGCCTTGGGCAGAAGTCAAGGGGATGCAGGGCAGGCAAGCATTTCATTGGCTTCTGCCACGTCTTCCTCTGCTTCGACTCCTAATTTATGTTTTCGTTCTGTAAATGTGTCTACACAACCCAAAGATACTCTGTTTTAACTGTGGTTGCTTAATGGAGTTCCAACTCTCAACCAGTGTGGTTTCTTTCAAAATAAACCCAGTGCTGACTCTTGACAGGCTCTAATGAAAAACAAATTGTTTTATTATTTATAAAAAAATAATTGGAAAGAAACTTGAATTGGTTGTCGAGATGGGAACATTTCACCTTCTCAAAAACAGGGTTGGAGAAAGGGAATTATTTAGGAAGGGAGGAATTGAGCTCTCTGAAACC